CACCCCAGGGAGGCACTCGGAGCCTGGAAGGTGGGCGGGAGCAGGGAGGTGGGCGGCTCAACGCAGGAGCGCCCCCTACTGGCCCGCCACAGAGGTCAGAAAGGTTATTTAAAGCGTCCCTCCATCTTGAAGAGGGTAGACATCTTTGGAAACACAGAACCAAGCTAGGCCTCCAGAGTAAGCTCGGTCAGTCTCTGGATGAACACATTTGTAATCTCCCTGAAATGTAGCCAGTAGTTTAGGATTAAGTGTTCTAGACGCCTATCAAAAGGGCCAAAGGAGCCTATACTGATTTCCTTAAGGCAGATTCCTTTCAATATTCCTTTTGTTTTTTATTCCTTCCCCATGCTCTCCCTCTTTGATCAATAAAGCTATCTGTAATAGTGTGCCTTGCTGTGTGTGCTTAAAAGGATGAGATTAGCCTTATAATTCCCTGTTCTCAGCTAAATAAGGGAGGCTACTTTTAATGTTTCAGGCTATAAGAAGCACCCAGATTTATCCCACTGGGGGCAAGGCAGTGTACCTCAAACTGCACAGAGCCCTACCACAGACCAGAGCCCAGGTGGTGGTAGCAGTTACTCCAGGCTTGCTGGTGTGGTCTAGGAAGGGGGTCAGCTGGATGGATGCACCCCAGGGGAGACACTTGAAGCATGGTTATTGGTCTGGCACAGTAAGGTGGGCATCTCAGTGCAAAGGCACCTCATACTGGCCTGCCACAAACTCCATGGCACTACCTGACCCCCTCACACCAGGCCTTCTCAGAGGCTATCTGGAACAGGAGACTCCCCGGGGTCTCAATCAATGGGTGATGGGAACTCATAGTAGAGGCTGCCAGGATCTAGGCTTAGGCTGCACCTTCCTCCCGCGGGGCCCAAGGACAATGGGGTTGAGTATCAATGCCATGTGGATCACGAGGCCCTGAAGAAGCCCAAGTCCATGTCCAGTGGACAGCTGTGGCTCCAAGGTAGAAGCACACAGGCTGGGCAGCGCAGGGCAAAGTCAGGGTGGTGACACCTAAGGGGATGCAGGAAGTCATGGGCACATCCCCTCCAGTCACCCGGATGGGAAGGGGAAGGTAATGAGTGTACTCAGCCTGAAGGGCCATGGGGATCACGGACTCCCCTCATGGCCCAGTCCCATGCAATAACATATGTGTCTGGAGGAGGGTGTGGAGTGCTCCCAACCCCAGACTGCTTCCTCCAGGTCTGATCCCTTTTCCCATCCCAAGACCCTAGTCCTAGGAACAGGCTTCAGCCTGGAACCTACTCTCCCACGCTGTACTCTGGCAGGTAGGTGCAGCCTATGGCCCTGCCTGCCTCATAGGGAAGCCCAGAGGCTATGGGTTTTCCAGGCAAATGGACCATGGGCCCCTGATGACAAGTCACAGTCTTGTTCTTCTTCTTTTTCAGACTAATCAGAGTCCACCAGAGCCTCAAACAGCTGAGCAGCGAGGCGGCATCTGAGGACAGAGGCAGTGTCACCAGCACCATGTATCTCACACCCACCTGGGGAATGCCACAGCTGGGCTGGGCTGGGCTGGGCTGGGGGATCAGGCTGGGGCTGGGACCTGAGAGCCAGGGTGTCAGTCATTGCTGGGTCATCCCAGGGCCGCCACTGGTGGAGGCTGCTCCTGCTGCCCTGCCTCCACCCACGTTCTGTGCAGTGGGGCTCGGCAAGGAGCCCAGTGGTGTGGGGGCTTTCTTTCACTCTCTTTACATCAGGGCAGCCCCCAGGCTGCCAGAATAAACATGGCAATGTTGACATTCATGCTCTCTGGTCCCTTTCCTTCCCTGGCCTGGCCTGCTCCAAGCCCCTGTTCTGCCCTATGCCAGGTGCTGCACATTGTAGGGAAGGAGAAGTCGGGTCTCTTGGCTGTTTCCTCCTCCTTGCACAACTGCTGGCCCCTTGGCAGTCCTTTCCGGTGACCCCCAGGCAGACTGGCACTTGATGCCATAGTGGCAGCTCCCTACATGTCCCCTCAGCCAGGCTGCTCCCCTGCCTGCTAGCTCCCTCCGGCACACTGGGAGTCCCCAGCCAGGGCAGGGCTGAGGTGGAGGCCAGTCATGCACTGCTTGGCCCCATGAGGGCACAAACTCCCTGTGATGTACTTGGTCAATCCAGGACTGAGGCTGCTGCCCACACATGCAGCCCTCCTCCCTCCTGTGCACCTGCCTTGAGGAACACATGTGGCTGAATCTGGGGCAGGCAGGCATTGCCAGGTAATGGTGCAAGACCCAGAAGGAGGGATGATCCACAGCACACAGCCACCAGCCGGGAGTCAATAGCCATGAGGAAAGCAATGGGGAATGCCCAGGGGCTGCACATAGGATGTGGGGGGAGGGCAGCTGCTGGCCCTGCCGGGATGTGCCTCAGCCCCCCTTGGATAAAGGGGGCTGGGTGAGCTACATTCTCACGTGCAGTGCCAGCACGGAGCATTTGGGGGTCTCAGTGTGAGCAGGTTTTCTGAGAAGCTCCTTCACTGGACAGCTCCGTGCCCTTTCACCCCAGGGCAGAGGGCAGCGTGAGCCTGGCCACAGGGCTGGAGACTGCCCTGATCTGCTTGCTGTGACTTTATGTTGCATCATGTACGAGGAGAGCTGTCCCCAGGGGAGACCAGAGATTTGTCTCTTGGTGCAAGTGCAGCTTCCTGGGCCTGAGGAAGAGTGCGGGTCTGAGAGTCAGATGGGGGAGAAGGAAAAGTCCCAGGGGTCAGAGCAGAGCCCAAGTGAGCACGGAGGGAGCTGGAGGGCACTAGGAAGACAGGCTGTTCTGGAGCAGACTCTGCTGTGCCACCAGGCACATCAGCAGCACTCTGATCCCCCCTCATTAAAAGAGGAAATCCCAATGTCTTCCTGGGAGTTTTTTCTTCTTTTATTTATTTATTTATTTTTTTTTAGTTTCCATATTCCATGCCAAATTAGCCAAATCAAATCCAAATCTGTGAGTCAGTCCAGAATTATAAGTGGCCCTACTACTGGCAAAAATTCTCCACCCCCATCTGGGTCTTCAGATGCTTCCAAATCCTTTGGTGGACATCCTACATGCAGGCCCAAACCCAGAGGCTTTGGGTTTGGATGCCCTTGTGAGTTGCTTGCCCTCAGCCACATGGGCAGCTGCAGGCAGGGATCACACAATTTGATCTCCATCCTTGTCCTGGCAGCTCTTGGGGTAGAGCAGGGAAAGTAGAGCAGGGAAGGGATGGGGGAAGTAAGTCATGGGGGTGGAGGGAGGAGCCAAAGATGAGCGAGTACTTACCTGGCAATAAGTTCTCACCTTCGGCTTCCCCCCCCCTCTACCTTTTGCTTTCCTAATATCTACCTACTTACATTCTCACTGAGACCCTGTCAGGCTTTTACCTTCTCTCATTCCTTGGAGTCCCAACCCAGCAGAGACTCCCTATGCCTGGCTTCCACCCTGTGCACACACTGGAAGGGCATGGAGTGGCATGTGCACTGGCTCTGTGTGGGGCAGGGCTGGCTTCTACTGCAGGCTGGGGCCAGGGCAATGCCAGGCTCTTCCTGACAGTGGTGTTGGGTCATGCTGTGCTCAGGGCAGGTGGCGATGGTGGCACAGGGAGGTGAGCTTGAGGGGGCTATGGTGAATTGTGGGGTGGCTGCAGCCCCTCCATAGTCCCTCTCCCATCACTGCCACCACCTGCCCTGAGTGCAGCATGGCCCAGCCCCCCTCTTCAGGAAGAGCCTGGGGTTGCCCCAGCCCCAACCCATAGCTGCAGACCACCCAACCCCACCCCACCCCACCCCACACATGCCCCCATGACTCCTGGGGTGTGCGCTCCCCAGGCAAGCCACTCATGGCTCAGTCCTGTGCCCCACCTGTGCAGCACCTGCCCCAGCCCCACTACCTGCCTCACTACTGCATGCACACCCCTCCCCACCCCTGCTGCAGTCACCAAAAGCCTGTGGCTGGGCTGCCTTGTAGCTCTACCACTCCCTATGTTTGGGGAGGCTAAGCACCATTAGTCCCCTCCCCCTTTCTGAGGCCCATGGCTTCCGGTGATGAGGTTAGCAAGGTTCAGTGCTTGTTAAAAGGCTACAATGGGTGCTTCTGGAAAGATCTCTTTAAGAATTGGATCTTCTTCTAGTCTGGGTTGCAATTGTTTGAGGGTTCTCCATGTAGGTTCCAGGGAAGGATGATACGTCATAACTAATGGTGTGTGATTTGTGGGGATTTTCTTCCCATGGTATCTGGGTGGCTCTTTCAAAAGTGCAAGCTATCTCTTTGGATGAGTGTCCGTGTTGGCTGAAGGCCCTTTTGAGATTTGTGAGGTGGGGATTACAGGTATTCTCACTGCAAATTCGGTAGTACCAGAGAGCTTGGCTGTATATTACAGCTTACTGCAATTTACAGTAAAGATAAATTTATATATATAAAAGAGGTAAAGTTTTACACACACTGTCACACACACATATATATACACGCACACATATATATACACACACACATATACACAGAGGACAGAGACCTGCATCTGGCCCCGCGCCCTCCCCACACTACTCCAGGTGCAGCCCCACTCCCCCGCACCTCCCATCACTGCTCTGGGTCCTGCCGCACTCCCTATGCAACTGCTTCTCTGGGTCCTTCCTTGCTTCCCTCTCCTCCCACCACCACTCTGGGTCATTCCCTGATTCCCATGCTGCTCTGGGTGATACCCTGCTCCACCCCCTGCCTTCCCACACATTGAGGGGAGCATGGTGGGTGTCTGCATTGTGAGGTTGGCAAGTGGCCACGGGGCATGGTGCAGGGGGTGCTCACTGGTTCTGTGGTGTGGGAAGTGACCCCAGGGTGTGGTGCAGAATGTGCACAGTGGTGTGGTGCATGACCACAGGGAGTTGTGCCGGGAGTGGTCATGGCATGGGGAATGCCTGCTGGCTGCAGCTGCATGGTGCCAGCAGTCCCCCCAGGGGGCGGCGCAGGGCTCGTGAAGGGGTGTGGCGCAGAGAGTGGCCCTGTGGCGTGGAGCAGGGTGCATGGGCGGGGCATGATACATGGCTGCACGGGGTGGGGGGGGGATGCACGGCCACAGGGGGTGGCACCATGAGTGTTCATTGGCTCCTTGGTGCATGACGAGGCCCCAGGGTGTAGCATAGGGTGCATGGGGTGGGGTGGGGTGTGACTGCAGGGAATAGCTCAGGGAGCAGCCACAGCGCAGGAAGCATTCACTGGCTGTGGCCGCATGGAGTGGGCAGTGGCCCTGGGGTGTGGCATGGGGCATGCGAGGGGTATGGCTCAGGGTATGGTGTGGGGAGCACCCAATGACTGTGCCTGCATGGCACAGGGAGCAGCCCCAGGGCATGGTGCAGGGTGTGCAGGGGGTGTGGTGCATGACCCGGGGGAGTAGAGCAGGGAGCAGTCATGGTTCAGGGGTGCAGGGAATGCCTGCTGGCTGTGTGGCAGAGGCAGCAGGCCCAGTGTGTGGCACAGGGTGCATGGAGTGGGGTGCAGGGCATGGTGTGGGGAATACCCGCTGCCTGTGCCTGCATAGTGTAGGGAGTGGTCCTGGCATGTGGCGTTGGGTGTGCAGGGGGGAGTTGCACATCCCCAGCTGGGGGATGGGGGGTGCAGCTACAGGGTGTGACATGTGGAGCAGCCTTGGGGTGTGGCACAGGGCACATGGTGATTGGGGTGTGTGGCTGAACAGGGGGGGCATGGTATGGGGAGCAGCCAGGGAGGAGGGATCACCCACTGGCTGCGGCCACGTGGTGTGAGGCATGATCCTGGGGTGTGGTGCAGGGCACATGGGGTGTAGTGGGTGAGGTGATTCACCCTGCCCCATGGCTGCGTGCTGCAGTGGCTGCCTACCTCCACCCCCCAAACCCACTCCCCACACGGCACCCTGCAGCTGCTATGCCATGCTCTGCCCCATGCACCACAATCCCTGTGCTGCTGTGCACCCCATGGCCACAACCAGAAGGCACTCCCTGTGGCAGAAATGCCACCGTCGGTGCCCCTCTCCAGAGATCTGTCTCAGCCAGCCTGAGAGGCTGCTGTTGAATCCCTCACAGCGGGGATCTCCCACATTGTCTACATGACAAAAGCCTGGCACCTGGGAGGCGATGCTCTGGTCACCTGGGCAGGGGGGAAAGGCCCGGCCCTGTGCGCGGGCCCAGGTAGCCAGGGATGCTTGGGAGATTGGTCGGCTTGTAGCCAGTATTGGCATCTTCGACTGGACCGGCTGCTGAGGTCAGAGAGGTTATTTAAGGGCC